GAAGGGCAGCTTATGATCCAGAGCAATGCTATATTAATAGCGAGAATGTAGAGCTGCGACAGAAAGATTGACAGCTTTTGGCAGTAGATTTTGTACTTAGGTATCTAAATGTATCCCTTGAAATTCCACTTTAGTCAACCAGTCAAACCTGTGCTGATGTGCTGAAAATTGGCACCCCTGCTTTACATCAGCCTCACGTTTTCACCCTTGGTTTTCTTTCTTGATTCTGAGCTAAAATGGTCGAGGTTTGCAGACACACTGTGTTCTCACGTGTCTGTCAAAACTGGATCTGCCCCACCAGAACGGGGAGTGGTAGTTTTGCAATTTTAGTGAATGTGCTGCAGTGGGAGTTGTAGTCACAATTAAGGAAAACAGTTTAATTAATTGAATAAATGGAGGTGATGTGAATAGTCTACTTAATTCAATGTGGTAGCCAGAGCTTGAGGGATTTGGGGAAGACTCACTGTCTGCAGTTGATAACTTCTTGCTTAAGAGTCACCTAGCTTGTGAATTTGCATGTTTTAACTGTGCCAGTTCTCTTCGTCTTTGTAGCTTTTGGGTACATCATTAGCCCTTCACTTGAAAAGCCACTCCAGATGCTACGGTGGGACCACAGCTTCATCCATTTTGATGTTCCCTGCTGTCCCTCTGCATCGTGGTGGTTCCTCAAGAAGTCCTGGGCCGTGTCCTTTGCAGAACACCCGTGGGCCATTTATAATATTGTCTAATTATTATTGCTTAATTTAGCAAATACTTCAAAAATGGTGTGGTTGCCTACAACAATTAGTGGTGTCCCTCATTGTGCAGTGATTCATCTGAACAAAATTAGCTCTGGGCTGGGAGTGAGAGCAGGGTAGATGGAGGCTAGGAGCATGCAAGGACCAGAGAGCAGGACTGGTCTGAGGGTGTGTGCATGCCCTGCTGAGGGGCAGAGGTTGGCTTGCTTTAATTGAAATTATTTTATCTGCTTCAGCTATAGAAAAGCAACTTGTGTGCTGAAATTTTATTTCAGTTTGATTAAGTTGATTCTTCACCCAGCTAAAGCAAGATGTGTGTTTAAAGCGAAATCAAAGTGTGCTAAACCTTGTATACACAAAACAGCTTGAGTTATTTTTTTATGTCAGATCTTTGGCAACAGAGGCATGGCTTTCTTATGGAGGCCAGCTCTGTGTGTGTGTGTGCAAGGAAGGCAGGAGCGATGGGGCAGGGTGTCACTGCGCTCTCAAGAAGCTGTAAAACATTTTGGTACAGTCTCAGTCCACAGCTTCAATAGCTGGGAAAATGAGAGGAAACCAAAAAAGGCTATTGAGAAGGCAGATGTATCAGCCTGGGTGTTTGATGAGCCATCCACATAGCTCACAGTTAATCTCAAGCAGTAAAATGAAGCAAATGAAAATGTTTCCTCTGGATAAAATGGGACACGCTGGTCCTCACAGCAGACCTGATGGGTATTTTCAAAAGTTGGAGAGAAACCTCCTTGGGTTAGCTGGAGCGGCTGTGCTAACCACCACCGGCACTACTGGACTCCTCCCTTCCCTGTGCCTTTTCTCAGGCTAAAGCCTGAAATAATTGGGGAAGGACCATCTCCCAGGAACCATTCCCGATGTCACTGGGTGAGTGGTGGACGATGCCCTGGTGATGAGGCTGTGTCGTGGTGAGGCTCCTGGGGATACTGTGCATCATCTCACTTGGGGTGCCAGCACGCCCACCCTGTGGCACCCGCCTGCCCCAGTGAGGCCTCTGCTTGGCCATGGGCTGGCCCAGGAGCACCAGTACTGCAACTGGGTTGCCCAGTGAGGGCACTGGTTTGCCCATCAGGAGTACTGGTTTGCCTATGGGTGGCACTAACATGCCCAAGGGCTGTACTGGATTGCCCATTGATGACACTGGAGGTTGTCCAGAAATGGGATCAAGTTGCCCAGCAAAGTGATTATGCTGCACAGACTCTGCACTGAGTTGCCCAGGGCTGGCAATGGGTTGCCCACTGGGGGCAGTGAGTTCATAGAATATCTCAGTCTCAAAATATATCGAGTCCAACTCCCTGCTCCTTGCAGGACTACCTGAAACTAAATCATATGACTTAAGAGCTTTGTCCCGCAGCTCAACAGTTGCCCAGCAGCTGCACCTGATTGCCCAGGGGCTGCATGAAGTTGCCCAGGGCAGGAACTAGGGTGCCATGTGGAGGGTATTTTCTTGCCCCGGGGTGGCCCTGGGTTGCCCATGGAGGGCACTGTGTTGCCCAGTGCCTGCATCAGGTTGCCATAGCGCTGCAGGCTGTTGCCCGGGCAGACCCGGTTCCGTGTCACCGATGGCACCGTGGATGCTGCAGCTCCTGGCAGTGCTGCTGCCGAGCCCAACAGCACAGCGGGGAGCACAGCCCCCCCCCCTCCCCCGGGCACCCCCAGACCCCTGGAGCGCACCCCACCCCGAGGCAGGTAAGGGTGAGCATGTGCGACGGGAGGACTGGAAGAGCAAGTATTTATCCTAATCACTCCAAGTATCTCTTATATCATCCAAATGCACCCAAACGACGTGGTTGGTGGCGCCCAGATTGTGTCTGTGTTCAGGGGTGGTAGAAAGTGTCACTCTGGGATGGCTTATCCCAAGGCATAAATCCCCTTTTAAATGCAGAGGCATTTATTTCAGCTGGAAATGCAGGGAAAAGTAAGCCCAGTCCATTCCCAAGGTTTTTTCCTCCCTTTCTTAAACATATGTCTGTCAGTATCTGAAAGGGAATAATTTATTTGCAGGGGTGGGAGCCAGGGAAGCCGTCTCCCACCCTCTGAATGGTGTTTCTCAGGTATAAATAAGTGGCACAGAGCTAGGGAAAGCACGGTCATTTCTCCCTAGCAGGGACAAAAGGGCTGAAGTGACTGGTTTGTGGGAACCAGCACACACAGTGGTTTTTGTTGGACCTAAGCACAGACATTTTGTCCTCGGTTCTGCCAAACTGGCTCGGAGGGTTGTGTTTGTGAAAGCTTTTCTGCTAAATTTGAGGGTGTGAGTTTCCCTCTGCTGATCCCACAGCCTCTTCAGCCAGGCTGGATCCTGGGGCGAGACTCGGTGCCCGCAGCTATGCTGCTCCCAAGTCAGGTACTGGGGCAGCCCATGCCAGCATGGCCAAAATTGGGCAAGGCTTGAAAATACAGCCCTCAAAGTTCAATGATTTCCCAGCTGCAAGCTGTGCACTTTTCCCCTCTGACTCATCCCTATTTTTCTCCAATTTGTCCTAGCTAAAGGACCTGTTATTCTCCTGCATTTGACATTTATTTATTTAATAGATTCATTTTGAGACACCGTTCATGTGAATGCATCAAACCATTACAGGCACCGGTGATGCAGAAAATCTTTTTGGTCACCTGCCCCCATAGATAGATGTTGGAAAATGTGCAGTTTAATGAGTTGGGTTGTCTGCTTGTCACCTGGTGTAAATGGGCATGGCTCCAAGAGAGTCAACGGGCTGGGAGTGTCTGGCATTAAAGAGGGTTTCCATCGGCGTGCCGTAACAGCAGCTCCCAGGCCGAGCCTGCCCACCTCGGTGGGTCTCCCATCTATCGACTTTTAAGCTTTCCAGCAGGAAAGCATGAGTCCTTGGTCCTGCCCTTGTGCAGAAAGAGGCATTCTTTGTTGCAGAGGTGACTAAAATGAAAGTAAGTCTCATTCCCAAGGTTTTAATGATTTTAAAAATGAGCCAGTCTCTCTCAACTCACCTACACGTGCAAAGTCCAGGAGGAGCAATTAAGCTTCTTGTCATGGGATTGCTTCTGTGGATGCTTTGTTCTAGAATAAAAACAGGTTTATTTCATGCGAACATCCCATTTTTAAAGGAATGAAGTTGATTTCATGCTGCAACAAATAGAATTTAGCACATAGTTCATGTCAAACCGCCCTCCCATCCGGGGATCTTGTAGCACACCAGTGTCCTCATCTTTCACTGGGGCCCTGAGCCAGGCTGGGAGCAGTGGGGACGGGATGGTGTTAGGGGAAGGACACATCCCTGCAGCATGGCAGCTGGCTACAACAGCCATAGGGACTTATTCTGCCAGTGGTTGACATCTGTAACCTCACGAGAGCTTCGTACTGAGCACAACATACCCTCCTGAGTGTTTTTCCTGAGATTAGGTGCGTTAGGTACATTTGGTGGCACTCTGTATTGTATTTCTGATAATAATTTACTGATACCCTCAATCTGAAAAGAACAATAGCCCTCACAGTGCCATAAATAGTTACTGGTAGCAAAATATTTCTGTGTGACCATTGCCCCTCAGGTTACTGCAAGGCTGGTGTTCACAAGCTGCTCTGAAAAGACTTTGTGGGATATATCTTTTCCAAGCACATTTATTTTACATCAGGTGAAGCACAGATATTTTTCTTCCTTTGCAAGTCAAGAGATGGCCGTTCATTTTAGGTTGAAACTGGTGGGGGGGTTCCAAATTTGGATATAGTCCTGCAAAGCTCATCTCACCTGCAGACTCCTCACTTGAGCATTTAATGCAGGTGAAGATAGTGATGATGAGGATGGAGTCCATTGCCTGCAGGTCACGCTGGACTGGTAGCAGCTGTGTGTCCAAAGCTATCAGGGCTGGTAATGGAACTTTTAAAAAGAAAATTACATCTGGAGTACTATAAGATCAGCAGATATGCCCGCCAAAAGAAACAAATGCAGAGAATCAGCAACTACAGCTTCAGTGGATTGAAAGATTTAAGGAAAATGAAGGCATAATATCTGTCATTCTCCTTAGCAGTCATGATTTGTTTCTCTCCACATTTCAAGACCTGATGCTAGATACTAGCAACAAAGTCAAATCCTTATATATACAAATACTTGGGATATGCTGTCAGAAGGGATTTTCTTTCAAGAGTTTTAGGCCTGTGCAGGCGATGTGTGGGTGCTGTGTGCATTGCTGTTTGTATTATAAGTTGCATGTGTTGCTGTAAGAAATAACGCAAGTGCAGGAACTTACTGAGCGAGGTTGTCTTCTTCTGTCTCCTCTGTGCAGGACACGTGCCTGAATAGCAGTGTTCAAGAATGGAGCTCGTTGGCTCTCCCTTAACAGCAACATATGCCCATCCAAGATCAACACCTACCAATTTTCTGCCCGCCATCAGCACCATGGCTTCAAGCTATAAGAACCGTTTTCCTTACTACCCCTTGCCTCAGAGCTTCAGCCTCCCCTGGATGCCTAGCACCTACTACAAAGCAGCTGCCATCAACCCAACTTTGGCTCCCTTTTCCAGAAGCTCCCTGGGGTTAACCCCTAGCAAGATGCTTAATTTTGTTTCCAACAGAACAACCCTCTTCAGCCAGTACACCCCTGATGACTGGTACAGGTCCAACCAGACCAACTACAAAGAGTCGGAGACTTCCCGGCGCAACGCAGAGTGTCTGAGAGCTGATACCTCCCGCATGATTCAGGATAAATATCAGCAGACAAAGAAAACCCAAGTAGAAAGCACCAAAAACCTGGGAGGACGTGTCAATGATATAGAATTTTGGAAGTCGGAGCTCTGCCACGAGCTGGATGAGATGATTGGGGAGACCAATGCACTCACAGATGTGAAGAAACGACTGGAGAGAGCACTGGCTGAGACGGAGGCCCCTCTCCAGGTAAGCACCCTGCCCATTGGGATGCAAGCTGTAGCCTGCTGCTGAAACATCTGCTGCCCTTCAAACGTCTAATTACGTTTCTTTACAGCTCTGTAATGTCTAGAAAGTTCTTATTAAGAGACCATTAGTTAAGTTAGTAATAAACAAATCCCTCACTATCAGTTGCATCCCCTATCAGCATATACTGAACGCATCTGAACAGTATTTGCTTAACCAAATATTTTTATAAGCGCTGTATCCAAAATCCTGGTTTGGGAGACAAAAGCCCATGTCTTGCTACGAGGCTCTGGCGAGGTCAGCATCAAGCCTGACACAGGTCCCTGCACTCAGCTGTGGTTGCACCAGGGACACGTGTGCTCCCTCATGTTGATTCAATGCTGACGTTGCAGTTCGGCTGCTCATTGTCAGCTAAACCAGCTGCTCTGGGCATTTTTTTTTCCCTTGTTGTCATCTCTGTGCCCATCTATGATTTCTTTTCTTACATTACTTGACGTGGGGACCATCCCTGTTGGGAGCCCTGACCCTGCAGCCAGCAGTGATGGCCTGTCCCCAACAGGTCGCTCGGGAGTGCTTGCTTCACCGGGAGAAGAGGATGGGCATCGACCTAGTCCATGACGATGTGGAGAAACAGCTCTTCACGGTGAGTTTGGCAATGCAGATCAAGTGTTCAAGTTATTTGTACCTAAACTTCCCTAAACAGGTTTTGCAGCCCTGTTCCCTCTCAGGCTCCTTAGTGCTGGTGAGGTGCTAAACTCTTCAAACCCCCCAAAACCTGCTGGGCCAGGGGACGGAGTTCCCCCACGCAGCAGCATGCCCACGCGGCGTGGGCAAGACCGGCCCGTACGGAGGAAGGACTAGCTGAAAACCAGCTGTGTGTTCGTGTAGCATATTGGGGTCCTCTGTCCCTCTTCACGAGTTTGTGAGACTGTCCTGCCTTTCAGAGCCCTGCCAGGACAGGATCTATACATATCTATGGCACATACACATGGTAGATATATCTCTCTATAGCATATACCTATATCTCTCTATATATTACACACAGAGATGTGGAGAAGGCAGTGTGTGCCCAACAGCTTGTCTCGTTTTCCCAACTACATTATTTGGTCTAATAAAAGATATTACATCTACCTCCAACTTTGTTTTGCTCAGAGCAGCATGGTCAGAGTAGGATTGCAGCTATGTGTACTTAGGCAATGTATTTCATAGAAATCGTAAAAAAGTGCCACCCCTGCCTGCCTTTATATAGTCTGCTTTAAATTATGAATAAAAAACAATCATGATGAGAGTTGGCACAGAAGATGGGATGCTAACGCAGGGTACAGTGAAACTGGGAAGGAGATTGCAGCCCCTGGGACTGCGAAGCCACTGCTCTGTTAGAAGATTTTTTCTTATGAGTCAGGCTCTAAAAAATTGAAAGATTAGTTTAAAGGTCATGAGATTTTAGGAAAATAATTAGAGCTGGTATCTCCATAATGGTATTTTGGATTTTAAGTGTTTGGAATGTATTTAGGCCATGCTTTCAGCTGTCTCCTGCAGACAGGAGGGCTTAAAAATTTCTGGGATTAGAGCACTAATCACCTGCCTCCAGTAGCTGGGGCTTCACAAATGCAACAGACTGTGCTGAAGCCAAGTGGGCAGCACACGTGGAGCTGAATGTTTCTTAGAAATGGCTGGGGATTTAGACCAAAGTAAAGTCCAACTCCTCTTGTCCCATATGGATGGGATTCCTCCCAGGGAGGAAAACATTTTGGGAGCAGAAAGGGCAGATGGTGACTGGGGATGTGTAGTGCTGCCGGTCCAGGGAACCACTACGCCTGTTTGTATCAGGCCAGGATCTGTCCCTGCCTCCTTATGGCGGAACTACCCAGCGCTTGACATTGATGTCAAGGTGAAAAAACACTTGGCAACCCACCCTGAAAGCGAGTTCAGAGTCCATGGCTGTGGCCACAGCACCCTCCTGTCCCCTCCTGGTCGCTGTGGGGGGGCTCAGCTGTGCCGGGCTTGGGGGGCACTTTCTCCACTCCCTACCCATTTGCTTTGGGCAGAAAGACAACTCACTGTGGGCAAGGTCGGAGAGGCCCGAGGGGCTGAGTGTGACCAGGACGACTGAGCACGGACGCTGATGGGGTCTTGCTTTGCCTTTGCCCAGGAAGTCGACGTCATCAAGTCCTGCCAGGAGAGGATGCAGCACTGCCTGGATAAGGCGAAAGACCAGCTCGTGTAAGGAGGAGCTCCTTATCTCATGCTGCAGGGCTTGATGTGCATTTGCATGTGTGCCCCCAGCAGACCCCCACCTCTGCCCGCCCCCCGAAGGTGTAAAACCCAGGCAGGCTCCATGGGAAGCGGGCGGTGATGCTCGTGGGAGTGCCCGGGTGGGAGCTGCGGGGGAAGCGGGATGGGGAGGAAACAATTCCACCCCCACGCCCCACCCACGGCAGTTGTTTGTGTGTTGAAGGTGCAACAGGGCGGCCCAGCACGAGCTGGAGAAGGACCTGGCCAACAAGCAGGCGGCCCAGCGCATCGACGACAAGTGCCACCACTTGAGGAACACCTCCGACGGCATCGGCTACTACCGAGGGGTGGAGCGGGTGGACGCCACGTGAGTGCACGCCCAGGAGTGCCCAGCCGTCCCCGGGGTGCGCGGTGCCTCTCCCTGGCAGGGAGATGGCTTTCCCCAGCCCACTGTAAAATCGTGTGTCCCTGCGTGGCACCTCCAGCCCGCCTGGGGACACCCGCCTCGGGGGGCCGCGTCTCTCTGCTCACCGTAAAGGGAGAGCAACCCTCTGCTTTCAGCTGGATGCCGAACATCCAGCGGGTGAAAGCCAGTCCCACCCAATTAAACATTATATCAGGGTTCAGAGAGCAGCCTGAAAATTAATTCAGTCCAGCACCTCTGCACAGATCATTAATTTTATGCATATTTTCAAAGATATGTCAGTGCTTGCCTGAGTGCTCTTCATTGACGTAAAGTCTGAGGGGTTCACCCCTGCATGGAGAGGGCCCGGCAGGGAGCCAAAATGTCACAGAAGATAAAGAAATAGAGAGCGTGGTCCTGGGACAGAGTTCAGCTGCTTTCGGGTGCCAGGAATTTGACTTTGGCTCTGCAGTAAATGAACGGTGACCCAAACCAGCACCCGCAGAGGTATGCCCTAAGTGGCAAAGGGCCGAGGGAATAAATCTGCTGCTCACAGAGATGCATGCAGTTGATGGAGGGCCATAGATTGGTTCAATTTTTCTAGTGTTTGAATAATTATTCAGAGTAGAGCTCAGACATATTTAGACAGGCAAATGAATTGCAAAGGATTGACACTAAAATTCAGAGGGGGGTAAAATGTGCCGAGGATCAGCATGTTTTAAATGGAGCTTATGTGGTATTTAAGTCTTTTGTTGACCTTGTTCTGGACTACTGTACAGGCGTGAACTTCATCCTGAATGCACAGACAGGGAATTGAATATTATCTAATGCTTGTTCGGTTTAGTATGAAACCGAGATAAGTTATGAGCAAAATGAATTGACTGCAATCTGCGTGTTGTTGTGAGGCTGGGAATCACTTGGCACTTAAATGCCTTGGACGTGTAAATATGAGGTCTGATTAAAATCTCTATTTTTCTGGGGGAATCTTTTGTTTGTCTGAGCTTTCATAACTATCGCAGTTGTCTTCGTGAGCATGTCATCATTTGATAAGTATTATTGAAGAAATGGTATCCAGATGTTTCTCTTTCACGTGGTCAAATTAAGAGCATAGACTTCATCTGCATTTAGTCCACGCTGCTCCCTGGCAGGGTCCGTGCCTGCTCACGACCAGCTTCAGCAGCACAGACTTACCGGGGGCCTCCCTTCTGCCCACCCAGGATCTCGGTGCCGGAGTCGTGGGCCAAGTTCACCGACAACAACATCCTCCGCTCCCAGAGCGAACGGGCGGCCTCCGCCAAGCTGCGGGACAACATGGAAAACCTGGTGGTGGTGACGGCCAACGAGATGTGGCACCAGTTCAACGAGGTGAACGTCGCCTTCACCAACCGCATCGCCGAGACAGCCGACGCCAAGGGCAAGACTCAGGCCCACCTGGCCAAGGTAGCCTGAACCCCTCCCTTTCGGTGTGACACCGTCACTGCCTAGTGCCACCACCCTCCCCACAGGCCTGGCCCAAGAGGAGGAACGGTTGCTGCAAGAAGCTGGTTAGGGTATCATCTTCTGTTTGACACTCACAGTATTGGGGACTTTCTTTTTGGAGCAGGAGGAGTTGGCCCTCTACCTTCATCTCATGGGAGACTGTATTTTGCTAGTGCATGCTAGCTGACAGCCTGGCAGCACAGGGATTTCCAGTGGAGAATGCCAACACTGGGTTGCATCTCCTGGTAGTTACTTCAGAAATGCTGGCTGCCCTGCAGAGCTTTTGCTGGGCTTCTGCTGGATCTCATGGAAAGCTTCCTGAAAAGTGCTCGACACAGTATTGATTAACTGAGCAGAGACTGGGCTTGCAGCGCTGCCGGCTGATGCCACATCCTTAAATCAAAATCCATTAAAAACTTTCCCTCTATTAGTTGCTATTGATATATGAGCAGTTCCTGCAAGCAGCAATTTTGGGAAGCTGGTAATTCAATAGATCCATCACTGCTCTAAAACCTCCTCTGATGTGACAGCAACAGCAAAGAGAGGCTTTTCCCTGAAGAGAAATCTCTGCTGAATCTGTGCCTCAATCTGTGGCAGAGTGACAGTGGTGTGAGCTCAGGGTCTGCTTATTGAACCTGTTTTTTTCTGCAGACAGATAGGAGGAAAGGGAAATGATGTGGTCACTTGGGAATACGTTTTTTAATTTATGCATCTATTTCTTTCTCATGCCAGACGTTACAGGAAATCTTCCAGGTTGAGATGAACATAGAAGCCATCCGAAAGGCCATTAGGGACAAGGGGCCTCCGTTAAAAGTGGCTCAGACCCGGCTGGACGAGCGCACACGGAGACCAAACGTGGAGCTGTGCCGGGACACAGCCCAGCTCCGGTAAGGCAGGGGTGCAGGGCCCTGGAGGAGTCACCGCTGGTAGCACTCAGGAGCACCACTGGATTGCAAAATTAATAATGTTGTTTTTTTTTTTTTTTTAAATAGTCCTTCTATAAGTTCACTGATATAGCCAAAAGCAATGAGCAGGTATCCCAGCCTTTGGGTGCTGGGAGAGCTCGGCACCCACAGAGGAGGCTGTAACTAGGGCCAGATACAGCCTGATGCCCACCCCATGAGGGGCTGGATTTTTCCCACTTGGGTGAACCTCATCGTGTCTCCTGCCTGCTTCCTCGTGGTTGGATGTGCTCAGTTTTGAAGGACAAGCCCTTTACTCTCTGACAGGCTTGTGCTGAGAGTGCTTAGCTGCTTCGTTTTGGGTAACTACCAGAAAGAGTGCGCTATATGGAGCAGCAGTAAGGGCTGTCCTCCCCTTCCCTGCAGACCCTGGAAATCCTTTAAAGGATATATTGAGCTCTTTGGGATTGCACTTCAAAGGGCTGTGGAGGAGCAGGCTGCCCTGAGTGCCCAGCAGCACCCCCTGTGAGGCACCCCGAACCTCACACCTCCTCCTGGAACCCCTCTGGGCACAACTATACGTGAAGCCTTTTAAAAGCAGTTTAAACCCAGCCCCAGAGCCTGTTGAGCATCTCACATGCCAGTTTTTTCCATCCTCCACTTGTTTCACATTCACTTTCAGCCACCCCCAGCTGTCCTGTTTTGCTGTGTGTGCATCCGTGGGTGTGGGGAGGACCCCTGCGCAGGGAAATCCAGGAGGGTGAACCAACAAACCCGCAAAACCAAACAGGAACAGGAAACCGCAGCTGCGCAGCCCTTCTCCTCGGTGGCACGAGCTGCGCCGGGAGACGTGGCTGTGCGTTGCCAAAGCCTCAGAGCAAACTTAGCTGTGCGTCCCTGCTGAGGTCTGGAGGAGCTCTGCCCTCGGCTTTCCCATGCATCTGCCAGAAACGAGGTGGTCTGAGTTAGTCTGAGCGCACTGAAGGGGGAAATCCTGTGCCCGAGGGGCCCGTCAACAGCACAGTGCTAGAAACCACCCCCCGTGATGGGACTGTTAACGGGGGTTTCTTGCTGTTTTCCAGCCTCATCGATGAGGTGTATGAACTCGATGAGATGATCCAGAGCCTTCAGCAGCGGCTGAGAGACGCCGAGGACACGCTGCAAGTGCTGGTTCGTGCCAAGTCGGTCTTGGAGCATGACCTGGCTGTCAAAGCCAACTCGCTCTTCATCGACCAGGAGAAGTGCATGGGGATGCGCAAGACCTTTCCCAGCACCGCACGGCTGTTGGGTTATGTTTAGGCTGGGCTCAGCTAAACTCACAGTGTCTGTTGTGGGTGGTATTCCCAGTTTTGCTAGGATGCATTCCCAGGTTTGCTAAGATGCTTTGAAAATACATGATTAGACTTTCACTTCCCGATGAAAGCCCTGAGTAGAAATTAAATGATCACTTTGTGTGTTACATGGTCTACCAGGATTATTTTTTCCTTTGTTTTTTCTCTTTCCACTGCTCTTTCACAGCATGCCAGAAAGTAGTTGAAAATATTCTGTATGCGACTAAGAGTAAATCCACTCACAAGGATTCATTCCTACCCTCTCAGTCCGTGATTTTAGGAGAAAAACTGTTGTGTCTTCCTCCTTTGGAGTCTGTCTGATGTGGAAGAATCACAAGGGGAAGTAAAGCTAGTTGTCAGAGTAATTAGCTGTTGACATCCATAATGATGCAGCAGAAGAAACACAAACTATCCCATAAAGCGTTGCAGTATGTTCTGTTCCTAAATAGAAAAAGTTGCATTTTAAGCTGATTTCTAACGATAATTTTCCTGCTTTTGAAAAATTCTATATGTCATCTAAAATGTCAGCACTGGGGTGTTAAAATGAGGAAGTACTTTCGACTAGCTAATTGAAGAAAATGCTGTGGTTTTAATTTTGGTGAGTATGGGTTGATTCCTAATTTAATCTCTTGCATGTAGTTTGTTGGTGGAAGCACCAAAGAACTTTGAAGATAAACAAATCAGTCCTTAAGTCAGCCACCCTGACCGCCGTGGTACCCGCTCACTTGCTGTAAATCACACCTATTTTTCCAAATATTTGAATTTTCAGAGGGATAAGTCTTTAAGCAATCTGAGGTTCAGTGGGAAAGTCACTCTGCAAATCATCTCCTTAAACTCACGTGTCACTTAGGCACTTCTGAGTCTTTTAACCTGAGCAGAGTTGTGCTCAGCCTAAAGCCTGTAGGCACCAGGAGTCCCAAAAGAGCAGGAGCCCAAGTCCCTTCTCCCTCGGGAACCCAGGGCATGGACCTCCTGGCCCAGCGTGGGGGCTCTCAGAACCCAAGAGCAGATCTTCTTGTCTCGCACCCCCAGGTGACTCCATCTCACCGCGCGGGTCCAGACAGACCTGCCTGCCCTCCCCGCTCTCCAGGGGCATCCCCGAGAGCTGTAACCTGCGCCGAGGTCCTGCCCCAGCCTCAGCATCTTGGCAGGATATCTCTTTGCAGCAGCAGCCCTAAACAGGAAGCAATTGTCTTTTTAACCTTTTTTTTACTAGCACTTTTGTTTCATGGAGGCTAAAAATAGGTTTCCTCTGCTTTGTGTGTATCTTGGAGCCAGAGTCTGTCGGAGACAGCAGCCACCCTTTCCAAAGAGAAGATAAAACTGTAAGGAAGAAAAACTGTCCAGCTCATCACACCTTCCCTTTCTCACTTATCTCCCTGCCCAAAATAAGCTGATGGCATGCTGAACTCATAGGGACTTCCAGTTTTTGTTAGCATCCTCGCTAGCCTTCATGCTGCTTTATGCTGCTACTCTCCCTGTGTTCCTTCACTGAAGACTTTCACAAACCCTGGTGATTTTGGCTGCTCTGCTGTTTTGAAGCCTTGCTCCAGATGGCTGGTTTTCAGGCAGAGCTGTCTGTTTTCTTTTTTGAGAAATGGGCCCCATGAATTTGTCCCTGGCTGAGTGCTCGGAAGTGGAGGCACCCACAGTCCCTTTCTGAAAGGCTCATGCTTTTAAGTAACTTGAGCAAAGTCCTGGCATCAGCGACAGCTTCACATTCATTTCACTTCCACCTTCATTTTTGAGTCGCATCAAAAAATACCTTGGCTCCATTTTGCTGTGAGAGCACACCGATAACAGTCAGCATCCAAGGTCTCCTATTTTCTAAAATTTTTCTTTGAGAGCACGCCAAACACTCATCTTTCCCACTAGCCCAACTCCTTTAAGGTTTTCTCCTAATTGACAATGTTTATGTGGTGTTGCAATTATCCACCTAAATTTTGTCTTGCTGTCCTACCCTCTCAATACTTCTTTACTCAATATTGGCGATACATTTCTTTCCTCCATTTGAGCCATGACCAGAGGAATTTCAGTTGCAGCTTCTCTAATTTCTTTCACGAATTCTTTCCACTTTCCTGCAGCAGATTTCCCAGACATTAGAGGATTCCCAGGTCCCTGTGGGGTTTCATTCTCTCCACACCAGTTTTCCATAAGTCGACAATATTGGTATTACTTCTTCTGGTAGCTGACACTCTAAAATCCCCCCCAGCACTTTAATTGCCTAATCCCATGTGTGCTTCAGTTTGAGTCTTTTTTTTTTCCCCCCTCTCACAGTGTGTCCTATGCACATCCCATTGCAGCCACAATACTGTAGAAGAGGTCTCTAGGGAGAGGGTTTGGGGTGAAATTCCAATAGACACGTGTCTTGTGGCAGGGTCTCCTGCACAGGGATGGATTTTCCTCCCGTGGCTGAGCTGCCAGTGAGTAAAGCTGCTTGGCTCAATTACTGCAGGGTTGTTTTGGGGGTTGCAGCCAAGAAGCCTCTATCTTTGATGTACCCCAGGTGCATTGAACAACTGTCCTGCCTTCCTGCTTCTGCTGTGTGAGATGCCTTTGCTTTCGTACCATTAAATGATTTGCTTTCATAGATCACTTCTAAACAGTGTCCCTGTCTGTCTCGGCTGCCTTTCTGCACTGATGTGATGTTTCCTTTCTTTAAATGCCTTCAGTCTGGAGAACGAAGTGCCTGCTTTTATTGCTGTTTATTGCTGGTTTATTGCTGGCTTTATCAGCCAAGTTGCTGAGAAAGTTAGTCTGTGGAAATTCCTTTGCATCCCACAGCCATATTCCCACCCTCCTGCATCATTCCAATAAACCCTGCAGAGCTGGGTTTGTAAACTAATTGTTTACCGACTGGAGGAAAGAAAATAAATTAATAAAACCAGGACAGCGTTGCTTCATGCAAGTTAAACTTCATGTCAATCCAGGATCCAGTTGAACAGTCAAGGCCAGACTATCAAGAAGTTGTTCAGAAGGCTTGGGTGTTTTTGTTGTCTAATAAAAGAAAAATCATTGAATGTCATGGAGGAGCCTGATATGAATTTGGGTGAAATGAAAACTTGCCAAAAAACATGTTAACAGTATAGCGCGTTACTAATGCAGATTATTATGCTCAAGGGAAAAAGCATTCCCAAAACAGCATCAGCAGTCAGGAAAAAAACCTAAACTCATTTCTTTCATGACAAAAAAGAAATTTAAAAAGGAGAAAACTTTGGCAAAATCCTAAGGAAGATTTGGGCAGTGTAGGATCATAGAAATGGCTGTGCTGGCTCAGACCAAAGTCCAGCAATCGCCACATTCAGCCTCTGATAGAGCCAGCAGGAGATGCTTAGCTAAAATCAGCAGAACAAGGCAAGCACCCTGTGATACTTTCCTAGTCTACTTTCCCAGCTTCCAGCAATTAGTATCTCAAGGACTTCCTGAGCTGACAGGGCTGTCCTTGAATTTAATATCCCCCGATGGATTTGTTTCACGTGGTCTTGTTCCAGTTGTTCTTCAAGCCTGTTCAGACTTGCAGCACCCGCTGCATCCCTCAGCAGGGAGCTGCAGGGGACGGAGCATCATCACCCTCAGCAGCAGTGGCCACTCTTGGGAGCCTGGAGGAGGCTGAAAAAGGGGCCAGACCTGGGACTGCTGCAGCCAAAGGTGTAAAATTCATTAGCTTGGGCAAAAAGATGGCTCAAAGCTGTTTTAGGTCTGTAGGTTCAACACAGGAGCTCACAGCGGGTCGGCTCCTTTTATACACTGTCTGCATGCAGGAGATGAGCACAAATCACAATTTCTGAAAGGATCTGAATATGTTCCGACACAGAGTTGTGTCCCAGCTGGGGAATTTGGTTGGCTTTTTTTGGTTTTGGAGTCAGTGAGTAAATTTTGGTTTCATTGAAGCCTGTGGGATTTTCTCCAGTGATTTCAGCCTGATTCTATCAGTGATGACAATTGGCTTGGAGTTGAAAATAAAAAGTTGGCTGAAGTTGGTTTTGGGGCATGAATGCGGACAGGACTAAAATATTTTATAAATTCTTTTTGGTTTGGTGGAAAACTCATGTCAGGAAAAGTAAGTGAATGTCTCCAAGATGCATTAGACCTCTTGTTTTAGAAGTTTTCTGAATTTAAGTATATCCCCTTTTGTTTTGTGTTTGTTTTTTTTTTTTTTTTTTTTTTTTCTGTTTGTTTGTTTGTTTGGTTTGGTTTTGTGGTTGGTTTTTTTTTTTTTTTTTCTGCTTTTCAGACAGCCATTCCACCAGTTTTATCAGAAAAGGTAAAACCCACTCTCTCTCTCAGTGCATTTTGAGCCAAACAGCATTTTACACCAGAGAAAAGGCCCGTTCCCCTCACAGCCCTGTGGCTCAGTAACCCGCAGCAGCTCCCCTTCCAGGGGCCTGGCTGAGACCCCCCCGCGCTCGGTGCACATCCCTCCAGGGGCTGGGGAAGGGGCAAGGTCCTGGCAGCCCCTGAGCCCCACTCCTGCTTCCAGCTGGGGACGTGCTCTCAAGGTGGAGAGCCTTCCCCCAGCCCTTCAGCTGGAAATACTTATTTAGACAGTTATTTCTCTCTGTGTATGTGTATTTATATATATATTCTCATGTGCATTGTTTGGGGGACCACTATGGGTTCTCCATAAAATCCAGGTCAAACCATCTTTTGCTCTCCTTCTTTCCCTAGTTGCACAGTTGTTTGAAGCCAGGATTTTTTTTCCTGTTGCTCTGTTCCGAGCCCCGCCGTGAGCTGTGGGCTCTCTGATGGCAGTGCAGATTTCTGCCCCTTCCCCTTTGCGCTTCAAATCCTCTGTGGCTCATACAAGGGTAGGGAACAGGAAGCGAGTCCCTAAAATTGTGATGACAGAGCAAAATCTTGGGGTTAAACAAGTTCATCCTCAGGAAGTGATACAGAGAAAATCTTGTCTTTTTTTGTGTAGTTTGAAAATGCTTGTTTTAAGAGTGGTTTCGTTCACCTGGCCTGGGCAGGGGGATGGTGTATGTGTATGCTGGACTGATGGCAGCAGAGATCATGATGTGCTGGTTCAGGTGATGCTGCAGACACAATCAAATAAGGCTTAGACCCTTTTCAGCAAAGTCCCCAAAGACCATCACTGCCTGATCAAATTAGCATCTGAGCCCCTTAAAATGATATAAACCTCACTTTCCCTCCTGAATTCTTATTACTTTATGCTAGAAATCCAAGCTGAAGCATTGTAAGAGTTTTAAGTGATCCCATGGAATAGATTCAAAGTGAGAAATCCACATTTTTTTACCCAGTGTTTATACAACCCGTCAATCTTACAGTATTCCCAGCACAGGCTGTGGTGAATCTTGTTTGTACACAAAACATTTTTCAAATTTATTGTGGCGCCTGGTTTTATTTAGGCGGTGATGACCACTGCTAGCGACGCTGGATGGCGACTGAGCTGGGGCAGCCGGGCAGCTTCCGAGCCCCTTGGTGGGGAGCACTGTGCAGCTCCCTGGCCTGTGCCGGGTCGGGGGGTGATGCCATCTCTCCTGCAAAACCTCCAGGGCTCTGCTGTGAACATTCTCACTTTTTCACCTCCTCTCCTTCTGGCCCGGACAGTCGCCATCCGGCACCTCCAGCTTTGGCTCCAGCGCCTTCACGGGAACTCCCCGTGCTCCGGGGAGCAGCCTGGGCCTGGCACCGGAGCTGCCGTGATAGCACGTGCTCAGCAGATGGTTTTCCAAAGCCCTGCTCCGTTTGACCGATGCACCTTTCCAAGAAGAGAAGTGTTGGAGAAGCATGGGAGTGATGTGCTCTGTTCTCCGGGCTTCCTCCACCGTTTCTAATCTGCAACTCTCCGCCAAAATAGGCTTCATTACTCATAGGCTACTCTTTCCCCTGATTTGAGTTTTAGAGATTTCTCCCATGCTTAAAAAGCTGCTTCTGGCACCGTTTTCAGAACTGGATCTCTCCCACATTCATGGAGGAGCTTGGGTGCAATATGTGACCCCCCCACACACCTCCTGGCTGCCTTTCACCACTGGGCATGTTACCGCTCTGGTTTTTGGGGACGGGACAGATAATTTATCCAGCGACACAGCAGCCGAGATCTCAGACCTACAAACCCGAATCAGAAGCCCGTCTCTGACGGCAGGTCAGATCGCAGTCCTTGGGGACGAGACCCTTCCCGCTCTCTGGTTGCTCAGTCCCGAGCGTGGTAGCTCCTTCTGCTCTGAAAGCAGCGCAGGAGCTCAACCCACAGAGGCAAGACAGCCCGAAATAGCCTCGTTAGCGAGGAATGTACTGAGGGCAGCCCAGATGTTTTAGTCCTCTGGGGTTTCACAGTCACGGGTGGCACTGGCTCCTGCTATGGCAGGCAGCAGCGTCACAGGGCGCCGGGGGGGGGGTGGCAGCAGCGGAGACACGGGTGGGTGTTTTTCAGAGGGGAGGGCGCTGTGTCCTTTGAAACCAGGCTGAGCAAACCTGCACAAGGCAGAGCCGGGGCTGCTGGAGCGGAGTTTGGCTCGGCAGCATCGCGGCGGGGCGTGCAGGCATGTACTGAAACAGGGGCTCGAGCACGGTGTGAGGCTGGGGGGGGCCTTGTTCCAGCCGCTGGCCCATCTCCCCCCCACCCCCACCGAGTGCTCTCAACTCCCACTTGCTGCCTAATGCGTGTGACGGGACCACTTACATGAGCGTGGAGGAGCCAGAGCCCGTGCTGCAGGGAACACGCCTGTGCTTGCCAGGAGGAAGGAGCCAAGCACGCTCCTCTCCCTTTTTTCTCCCAAGATTTACAGTTTCAGTGGCTGGATGCCGAATTCCCTCGTCTCTGCAACAAAGCAGGACTAGTTTGGAGCTGGTGCGTGAAGAGGGGAGAGGTGATGGGGAGGTCGGTGCTGGTGCTCAGGGCTCCCAGGAGCGCACAGGTCTCCTGCAGGGACTGTTGGGGAGCGGGGCGTGAGGTTTATTTCAGCGGATTAGCTGTGCTTGAGGAATGGGTGAAGGCTGCTGTAGCCAAGTGCAGCCACCCCTTCCTCTCCGAGGACTTAAGTCCTCCAGCACTTTGCAAAATCTCACCCTCCGTTTAGTGTAAAGTTGCTCAGTTCCACAGGATTTGGCTTCCAAGTGCTAAAATACTCCAGCCCAAGAGCCAGAATCACATTGCCATCGCAGGGGTAAATTGCAAAGGTGTCACTTTCCTGGACGCAGCCCCGCTGTGTAAATCAGGGGTGACATCCACCTCGGGTTCAGCACAGCCAGGCGCTCCTTCCCCAAATCCTGCCCCACAGAGCCCCCAAACTGCCTCCGCCGGGGCGAGTGGAGCCACCCGATGCAGCAGAGCTCTCTGTCCTCTCCGTGTAACCTGCCTGCTGACGATGTCCCCCTCTCCGTGCAGCCCTGGAAGAGGAGGGCTCCCTGCCAGCGCCCCCATCATCCCTCCAGCACCCCCCGGAGTTACTTATCTGCTTAGGAAAATATGCAGCTGCCAGCCCTGCAGCCGCGGGACACGGGCCGGATCCTGCCCACGGCACCGCCCGGCTTCCTACAGCCTCGCACTCCGCTGTGTCACCCGCTCTGAGACACGCAGGCACCCACCCACGCCCACGCGGGGCCGCGCCGGAAAGCGGAGCTGGGCAGAGTTACACCGCCC